AAAGTCGATGATAACGAAGAAGACGATGGCAATGAAAAAGGAAAAAAAAAAAAGAAGAAGAAAGAGAATAATAAAACACTGAAGAAGAAGAAGAAGAAATGAAATAAAACCTGGAAGAGAAGAAAATCAAAAGATGTATAAGTGGTCCTTGGAACCTGATGATTCTTCGAAGCTTCATACTCGCATCACTAGGGGTATGTCCGATTTCAGAAATTGCCTTGATTCTTCTGGTTTATCTGATCTCTCGTTTCGAGGGCTTCACTACACTTGGTGGAACAAACAACTGCTGGACCCCCTCGCTAAGAAGTTAGATAGAGTTTTGGTTAATGACATCTGGTCCACAACCTTCCCTCTTGCTTATGCCCACTTCGGGGAGCCTGTTTTCTCCGACCATAGCCCCGCCTCGGTTATGCTCGGTCGCCCAATGGTAGTGGGGAATAAGCCGTTCAAGTTCTTTAACTTCCTGACTCACCACCCAGCTTTCCTGTCGACAGTTAAGGAGGCATGGAGCACCCTCTCTTTTGAAGGCACAAAAATGTTTACATTAGTGAAGAAACTCAAGGCCATGAAAAGGGTCATCAAGAACATCAACAAGGACAACTACTCTAATCTGGAACAACGTGTTTCTGAGGCGTATGCGCACTTAGAGTCTTGTCAGAATGCCCTCCTATCTAACCCATCCTCCACATCGGCCGATCTTGAAAAGGACGCTGCTCAAAAGTGGTCGACTTTGGCGGAGGCTGAGGAGCGTTTCCTGTACCAGAGATCTAGGGTCAATTGGATTCAAGCTGGGGATAAGAACTCAAGATTTTTTCACAAATTCATGGCTGCTCGTCGGGCATCTAACCAGATCCACTACCTTCGGGATGCGCTCGGCCACCGTATTGAGGATCCTAGTGCTATTCAGTCACATTGTGTTGACTACTACCACTCCTTGTTGGCCAGCCCTGACTCTATGCTTTCTCAGGAGGATGTTACTCGAATACACTCCTTCTGCCATATTCGTTGTAGTGAAGAAGATGTTGGTATTCTCTCAGCTCCTGTTACTGCGGCCGAGGTCAAAGCGGAATTGTTCTCACTCCCTCTCAATAAGTGCTCCGGACCGGATGGCTATCCAGCTGAATTCTTCCGTAGTACCTGGAGTGTAGTTGGCGACGATTTTACAGCAGCTGTTCTGGAATTCTTTACCTCGGGTCAGCTCCTTAAGCAGGTCAACTCCACATTACTCTGTCTCATCCCCAAGCGACCTGGAGTGGACTCTTTGAAGGACTTCAGGCCTATTTCGTGCTGTAACACGATCTACAAGGTGATTTCGCAGATTCTTGCCCGCAGGTTCCAGTCGATTCTACCTTCTATGATCTCGCATTCGCAATCGGCTTTTCTTAAGGGTCGCCTTCTTGTTGAGAACGTCCTTATGGCAACGGAGCTGGTGCAGGGTTTCAATCAGAAACGCTCTTCTCGCCGAGGCCTTGGTCGATATTCGTAAAGCCTTCGACTCGATCAGATGGAGCTTCCTGTTTGAGGTCTTGCGTGCTGCAAATTTTCTGAAGGTCTTCATTTCATGGGTTCAACAATGTGTAACCTCTGCTTCTTTTTTGATTTGCATCAATAGGGGCATCAATGGTTACTTTAGAGGAACCAAGGGGCTGCGCCAGGGGGATTCCATGTCTCCGTATCTCTTCATTCTGGCTATGGAAATCTTTGGCTCTCTGCTGGAGGAAAGGTTTGCTTCAGGCGTTATTGGTCTTCACCCTCTGGGTCAGAACCCGCGGATTACCCACCTGGCATTTGCAGACGATGTCATGATTTTCTATGACGGAAAGCCCACCTCCCTTGCTGCCATTTCCCAGTCTTTGGACTCCTTCGCAGCACTCTCGGGTCTTGCAACGAACAAAGAAAAGTCAGCAGTTTTTACCTCGGAACTGAACCAAGCGGAAACTGTTGCATCTGCTGATGTTGGCTTCCTCTCCGGTTCACTCCCTGTAAGGTATCTTGGCCTCCCTCTCATGCATCGGAAACTCCGCAAATCTGAGTACTCGCCGCTTATCGATTCCGTCACTGCTAGGTTCAGTTCGTGGATGACTAGAACCCTATCATTTGCCGGACGTCTTCAACTGATATCCTCAGTTATCTATGGCACCATTAACTTCTGGATGTCAGCCTTCTCCCTTCCCAAAGGCTGTCTGAAACACTTGGAGAGACTTTGTAATAGATTCCTTTGGAATGGAGACATCAGTAAGAAGACTGGGATTAAGGTCTCGTGGGAGCATTCTTGTCTCCCGAAAAAGGAGGGCGGACTTGGTTTGCGGAATCTCTCTATTTGGAATAAAGTTCTAAACCTTCGTCTTGTCTGGCTTTTATTCTCGAATAGTGGGTCTTTATGGGTCGCCTGGAACCGCGAGCATCGTCTTAAAAGATGTTGCTTTTGGTCGTGTGAAGAGCGTGCTTCTTCCTCCTGGATTTGGAAATTCCTTCTCAACCTGCGCCCCTTAGCGAAACGTTTCGTGCGCTGCTCTGTTCAGAATGGATCATCTTGCTCGTTCTGGTATGACCATTGGGTCGGGAATGAATCGCTTAAGGACACAGTTGGTGCTTCTGGCCCTCGCCTGTTGGGTCTCCCGGCTGAGTCTAAAGTTATAGACGCCGTCGTCAACGGTCATTGGAAGTTCCCGGGGTCCAGAAATCGATGCCCCCTGCGCCAAAGTCTTCGCAATCTGCTACTCACCACTCTCGTTCCTGTCTTGTCAAATGGATTTGACATCTTCTATTGGCACTATGGTAACGCAACCCTTAAGCCATTCTCGGCTAAGGCAACATGGGAGGCGATTAGACCTGCTGCTGCTTCTGTGCCTTGGAGTAAAATAGTATGGTTCAAAGGTTTTGTCTCGAAACATGCTTTTCATTTCTGGGTTACTCACTTAAACAGGTTGCCTCTACGTGCAAGGCTATCGCAATGGGGAATATCCTCGGATATGTGTTGCTGCTGCGGCTTGTTTGTTGAGACTCGGGACCACCTGTTCCTGCATTGTGACTTCGCGTCTCAGGTCTGGCAAAGAATCCTCACAAGGCTGGGTCACGCTCCTATCCTTTTTCTCAACTGGGAGGCGCTTATCAGTTGGTTATCATCTACTGTAGGCCCGTCTCCAAGAATCCTTAAATGTTGGGTCGTTCAAGCAACAATTTCCTTCATTTGGCGTGAACGGAACGCGCGCTATCACACCGACACCTCGTTGTCTGCTGAGATCGTCTACAAATTCATTGACCGCTCTATCAGAGACTTACTCCTGGCTTTCCTCAGGACGAATCCATCTTCTACTCACCTATCCACCTGGTTCGCTTATACCTAACTGGTAGCTGCTAATTGTTAGTATTAGGATTCTATATGGTAGTTTTGGCCTTTTTACTTTTTTTTGGGGGCCAAAAGCCAATTATGCTTTGCCGAGCACTTGTATGGAAACGTTTCTTTTTGATATAAGTATTCACATTTTATCAAAAAAAAAAAAAAGATGTGGAGAAGAAGAAGAAAACGTGAAAAAAAGAAAAATCAGCAGAATAAAAAGTAAAAAAAGACAGAAAGTGAAGAAGAAAAAAAAAAAGAAAAAAAAAAGAAAAAAAGAAGAAAATGATAGAAAAAAAAATTAAAAGATAAAAAGAGAAAAAGATGAATAATTCATATTAATCTTATTTTAGTTTGTGTTTATTGATTTCATACACTTATTAGTATTGATTTTAAAGTTTTTAATATTAGACAATGATTATTTTTATAGGTTAGCTTTATTTTAATTTTGTATGTATCAAATTCTTGATCTAATTATTTTTGATTTATGACATAAAATTTTATTTAGGTTTCAATGAAACTTTTTGGCCCGCGCAAGTCGCGGGCTAAACACCTAATTTATATTAAAATAGCAATCATGATTGTCCCAAAATCATGAATACTTAGCATAACTGAATAAGTACATAATCAGGTGCTAGAAAGCGAGCTGATAGTAGCTTAATCCATATAGTGGTGTTTGGTTTATCCAATGGACTATAGTCTTAAAAGAAGAGTTAACCGCTATAGCATGTGAGTCATACCACATGTGCCAATACGACCATATAGGAAGCAAGTGATTTTTTTATAATCTTTTTCTCTTGCAATGTGAGTTCCTATAAACCTATTTATGGTTTCAAGGTTACCCTTGAACCTTCGGCTATGTTTTGAAGGGATTAATTAATGATTGCTACTTTAGTATGTTTTTCGATGATGATGGAATAATTAGCTTTATGGGACATGCTAGGAAAGCAGTTAGTTCAGATCCGATAGATATGAGAACAGAAGGAAAACTATTTGCTTTTATATTGACATATGTGTTTGTTGGCCAGCCACTATATCACTCAATTGGAGTTTGTATATAGTGAACACATGATGTAAGAAAAGGTCATATGTTTTAGGGATAAGATATGTTATGACTGATATAAAAGGTAAATGAGTTTGTGGAACAGCGAAACATGCTGAAATTAAAATATTTTTCTTAGAGTTGTAGCATGTATGTATCCCTAACAGGTGCATAGTTTAGCTCCCAAGTGCAGGTGTATTCGCAAAAGTCACACGGTTCATTTGCCGTATGATTTTTGATTTACGATTCTCGAACTTAATTTTTAATATTTTTTAATGCTGATTATGTTTCCTATCATGTGCGAGTGGGAGATATTGGTTTATGGTCAATTTGCACTCATGATTTGGTAGCATACCGTATTGGTTTGATTCAACCAGCAGTTATAAGAAATTAGTTCTTATAACTTCTCCAAATGAAGAGTTGACTCTTCAGATTGTATCTTTTCATTAACTATATTAGGTGAATACCGGTAATGTGCAGATTTTTTTTTCAACTATTTCAAATTTATAAATTTGTAAAAGTAAATATAATTATCATTTATTAGTATGTTATTATAAATAATTAATCTTAAAAATTAATTTGAAATACATATTGAATATTATTAAGTAATCTAGAGTTATATAAAAATAAAATAAATATTTTTAATATTTTTAATTATTATAACATAAATTTTTGTTTAACATTTACATATATATTATTTAAGAATTAATTTAAACAAAGAAATTACATAGAGAGAAAAAACGTTTTTAAATAGAAAAAGCTTGAAGAGATTAATTGGAAGAGCATTTAAAAGGTGATAAGTGGTTGATTTTCATCTGTGATCTCTTCCCCATGCATCCATTTTCGGATCATAACAAATCATATTTATCGCTAAACCGGGCAAAGATTTGTATTGGATTTAAACGCTTCTGCATAATACTCTTACAGTTTCGATTCAAATTTTCTTCACGAAATCTGTGGAAAAATGGCAAGTAATAGAAATTATGAAAGATCCTTGAAAAAGAATTGTGAGACATAAAGAGTAAACTTGATCAGTTGATGCTTAATGCTTACCCGCATTCGTTTACTGCTTGTCTCCGTCACTAAGTCGGTTTCAAAAACATGAGGAGGCGTGTTTGGACTACCAAGTCCGTTCTCTGCTGATGAACAGTCCTCTAAAAGTCGTATACCCCATTCTTCTGGAGAGTGACTAATATTACTAATATGAATCTGTATATCCACATGATTGTAGTTCATTTCAGCTAGGACAGCACTATCTTTCCTTAGAGGGATACGACAATCCAAAATAAACAGACGAGTATCCTTCTTAGTTGTCCAGATCGTATACATCTCAGTGCCTGCCCAGAAGTCTTGTGGCTGACGAAAGGAATCTAAAGTGTTCCAAAATCTGCCTTTGAAGTGAAATTTAGCATAGAATTCTCCACCGCTAGATAACTCAGACATATTGTCACAATTAAACACAGTGCAAGCCCTGAATCTGAAGAATGGTTGTGAGAGAGAACTGTGAAGTAGAGGGATGGTCAGAGAAGAGGAGGCTCCAGTAGTTCGGTGAGTGAAATATGATGGCACTTCTTCACCTGGCAAGATCATTGGATCATAAAAAAATGAACGTTGGTGAAACAGTTGATACAAAGCTTCTTGATCCAAGTTGAAACAGTTGGTGAAATTGATATGGACTCTCTGTGGGACATAATTTAACACACTTCTTGGACTATCATTCCAGCTAGCTCCAGTCAATGCCTTGCAGTCTGAAAAGTCAACTGAAAGATCCTTCAGTTTAGAAATATTTAGGTTTACATATTCTAACTTGTTGCATCCCTTCATCTCTAGGAATTTAAGCCTAGAGAATTTCTCAATCCACCAAGGAACCTCTTCAATCGCTGTTTGCCCTAGATGGAGCCCTCTGATGGTTGTTGAGATATCAGGAAAAGTCCTCAGCCGTGAGCATCCACTAAAATCGAGGCGACAAAGAGATTGGAGGTTCATTCCAGTGGGAAGGGTCTCCAGATTTACGCAATTTGCAACTTTCAAACTCCTGAGATTATGGAGATTCTGAAATGAAGAAGGAAGCTCCACCAAACTTGAGATATCCGATAGCCACAGCCTCGTCAAAGAGGGAGACAACATCGCCATGAGGGGAGTAAGAGGCTGAACCAAATACAAAATCAATCAGACAACTCTTTTCTGTTTGACTCAAATCAACCAAATAAGTGACTCTCTTTTCTCCAATAATACAAGTTTTTATTTTACAAAACCCAATGGTTATTTTTTTCACTAAGACCTTAGAGTTTGTCAGTTGGATTTAAATTTAGAAATCAAATCTAAAGAGCAAATAAAATAATTAGTACAAAAAAATCCCCTATATTATCCTACTATATAGAAAACCAAAGCTATACTATTATAACATTATCATTCTTAGAAATAACATTCCATCATTTGTTATACCTGAAAATGCTATTGAAAACAATAAATATCTTAGAAGTTCATTAAGGGGTTGTATTCCATCTAGCAGCATTTGAAAAACATTAAAAATAATAGTTTAAACGTTTTTATCATTTTGTTAGAATCTAGTATTGTTTTTAAAAATTGAGCAAATTACTTGGCTCTCATAGATATGTATATCTATCTATACTGTAAAAGAGGTTGGAGAAAGCTTGGAACCGCATACCTGAACTCCTTCCCATAGTTTCTTACTCTTTAGGTTTTCCATGCGAAGCTCACATAGATTCTCCAAACGCATATTAGCAGGGAATTCTTCAATGGCTGTTTCGTCTATATAGAGCTCTGAGATGTTTGTTGAGATTTCAGGAAAAGTCCTTAACTGCGAGCATTTATAAAGATTGAGGTGGTCGAGAGATTGGAGGTTTATGCCAATTGGAATAGTCTCTAGATTTCCGCAATAGTGCATGTCCAATATCTTCAATTTATTGGGATATGGAATTGAGGAAGGAAACTCCACCAAACTATAGCAACGCCCAAGTTCAAGAATCTCGAGATTGGTTGCCTTTGAAAGATCTGGGATTTCTTTGAGGTTGTGAGATCCCCACAAATCCATCACATTGAGACATGTTAGTGACTGTACACAGAAAAAGATTTAGAAATCACACATCAAGTGACATAATTATCATCAAAAAAAAAACAAAAAATGTAAGGATTTTACTCTCACTTCTGATAACACAACAATTATCTTGAACACTTACCACAACTCCTTCCCACAGCTTCTCAAGCTTGCTATTATTCATTTTGAGCTTAACCAGTTTTTCAGGACGAAACTTGGATGGCATACATCTCATTGGATATTCGGGCCAACACAATAATTTGAGTTTAGGGGGAAAGTAGTCGAAGCTTTCGGGTAAGTGCAAAATGCCTTGTTTCCCCAACCTATGAAAGCTTTTCGAGTAAATGTCTAGAAAACGGAGATTACGCATCCCCTTGAAGGCACTCTCATGTACATGCAACTCATCAATCTCATCAATATCCAATGATATACCTAAAATCTTTTTACTACCCTGAAAATTATGATATCAATAAGAAAGACATAAAATCTTAACAAACACGTACTATTCGTTGCTTATAAAATGATGACATGCTCCTAATCTTATATACTGAGTAAAGAAAGGAGCTGAAGTTAAGAAAAAACTTACAATGCCTTCATTGAGTACATCACATATATCTTGTGAATCCACCAGAAATTCCCGTTTTTTCAGGGTCGTCAAGACGAACAACCTTTTTACCCATTTCTTGTAGCAAACGGTGCATCCTCACAATACCCAATCTGACGTCGATGAGGGACTTATCAGCTAGGTTCCCAAGTGCAATATTAACACCCAAGTCACTATCTGCGAGCAATAACTTCATGTATGTGACTTCGGCACCATTGAAAAAGCATGCGATATGGCGGAATATCGCTTTGTCTTGTTCGCTACCTAATCCATCATAGCTGACTCTCAATGTTTTCTCAATCTTCTCATCTATACCATTTTGAAGCCTTGGCAACATATCCATCCAGTACTCCTTATCTCTCCCTCGTAGAGATGAACCCAAAACATTAAGACCCAAAGGAAGACAACCAGCATGTCTTGCAACTTCAACTACTAGCTTCTCAAAACCTTCAGGTGGAGACTTTTTCCTGAAAGCATATTGACATAACATATCTTGAGCGAGGTCTTCAGATGGGAGACAGACCTCATAATGACAATCAATCCCATGGGCCCTTAAGAAATGCTTATCATTTGTAACCACAATTATTCTGCTCGCATTTCCAAACCATTTTGGTTCACCCACCAAGGCATCTAGCACCACTTGATCATCCAAATCATCGATGAAAATAAGAACTTTCTGGTGCTTCAGCCTCTCCTCAACAGCACTTAAATGATTCAGCTTTATGTGTTTTTTACCTAAGATTTCAGAGAGGAAATTTCTTTGCAAATGCAACTTCATGTTGTAGTCGTCCGGATTGGCTATATTATAAATTTCCATACTCTTAGATAAGAAAGACCTGTCTATGAAAATGCTATTTTGAAAATGTCGAGAAAGTTGGTTGTAAAGAGCTCTTGCTATTGTAGTTTTGCCAATCCCGGAGGAACCCCATATACCAACCATCCTCACTTCCTCAGATTCCAAGTTTAACAATACACTCATATTTGCGATATGATCTTTGATGCCTACGAAGTCCTCAGAATCCTTCGATGGAGTTAAAAGTAGTTTATCCAAAACATCATTGGCAATTTCTTCAATCATTTTTGCTTCGTTACCCCTAACAAGGAGAAAGATAATTTCACAAAAATGACACAATGTTCTGTTTTTTTTTTTTTTTTTAAAAAACAAGATATACAGGAAAAGAAATGGTTTCTATAATCGTACCAAGACACTGAATGATATCCGAGGATATTAGCTACATCGGTCAAGGCACTCCTCCATCGGTTTGTCACTTCTTTTGTACTGTTCTTGCAAGTCTCTTCAAAGATTTTTCCAAAGTCACCGGTTTGTTTCCTTACATGGGAAGGATCCAAAGCATAGAAAACCGGTATTACCATCTGACCATACTCTTCCTTGCAATTCACTATCTCCAGCAACTCGTTGAGGCACCAGCTTGAAGAGGCGTAGTTTTTGGAGATCACGACCACTGCAATTCTAGAATCCTTAATAGCCTGTTTAAGCTCAGGATCGAGTGACCGGCTTCTCTCCATCTCATTGTCTTTGAAAGGAATGATCAGTTTCCGATCAAGCTCCTTTAGAAAGTGGCTGAGGAAAGTTACACGTACGTCTTCCCCACTGAAGCTCGGAAAAACATCGTACACCCAAGTGGTAAAAGAAGATGATGGAGCCATAGAGAAAGAGAGAGAGAGGAACAAAAAACGACTTTGTGATTGATCTTCTGAAGAGACAATCAAAGGAGAGTGTTAATTAGAGCATATAAGTAGCAATCTCACCATTATTTCTCAGAATTTTTTCAGATGCAAGTTGAAGCAAGTAGTATATTTGTTGACTTAATTGCGCCCACACAAAAGGCCACAAAAAAAGAGGGCATTGCCACAAACATATGTTTCATAGCCTCTTATCTTTACATTAATATCTCAATACATTTTTTTCAATATAATTCATGAGTATTCTGTGAGCATACAAGTCTACAACAACAACAACAACAAAGATAATCTGATTTTGTAGCTAAATTTGAGACATGCTAAATAAATAATTTTTTTTTAAAAAATTGAAAGCTGTAAATCATGCTTATCTCGATTTGAGATGACTTGAAATAGAATCAAAGAACTCTTGGCTCAGAATATGCAAAGCTTTAGTGTGAACCTTTACATGAATGTGATACGTTGGACAAGATGAGTGTCCTAGTTTCATCTACTCCTTGGTATTATATCTTATAATAAGCAAGACTCTTACTATATTTACTGTTTACCTTGTAACCACTAGAAGGATACTAGGTAATGAGGCTCTAGGACTATATATAGAATGAGGAGACCATAGGAGAGGTTAACGAGTATTTGGTGATCATTTACAAAGGGGAGTGGGAGGAGCTCCATTATCAGACGTTATTGTTTATATATTAGTATTTCTGTTTCTGCACGTATCAGAATATTTACACAAAAGCTTTGTGCAGACTGATATCAACCACTCACTGAACATTTTAACAGATTGAAAGAAGAATTAAGGCTCAAATATTGAATTCTCTATTCTACAAAAGGAGTTGATTTGAATCAAATACTAAACATCGATACTACTCAAATTCCACTCGACTATCATAGGAAGAAGATATCATCAAGACAAGTAAAAGTGGTCAGGAACCGTGTGGCATTAATGTAAAACCGCCACTGTTAAATATATAGTTTTAAGATTAGTGAAAGACTTGCCCTTAATTAGGAGCTCTGAGAATTAGTAGAATCCATGACAAGTTCACACTCTTCCATCACAGCCGCTTCTTTAATCTCCTGCAACATCTTCAACACTTGCCACATCGTCGGCCTCTGCTCCGGCGATACTAAGCTACAAGCCACCGCAACTTCAGTCAACATTCCAAACTTATCCCTATCCTCTCTCCAATTACCATTCTTCTCACCTTCCTCTCTCACTTTCCTAACCCATTCCACCATCTCATCCAAAGGCAAAACCGGAAGCTTCGAAGGTTGCTTCCCTGTCAAAAGCTCCAAAAGAAGAATCCCAAAAGAGTAAACATCGGCTTTAACTGATTGATAACTCAAACTCTTGTGTCTAGCTTCAGGGGCTTTATAAGCTACTGCATCGTTGTCTTCTTGACCATCATTGAGAGGAGGGTTTGTTGCAAGAGCGACGAGACAGTAGTCGGCGATACAAGCTTCGAAGTCTGGTCCGAGAAGAACATTGGAGGATTTGAGGTTTCCGTGTACAAGCTGCCATGCTTGGTGGATGTAGGAGAGACCTTGAGCTACGTCTTCTGCTATCTTTAAGCAAGATGTCCAATGCAGTGGCTTTGCTCTCGATGATTTGGTACCTACACAAAGATATGATATTATCTAACTTACCAACTCCATGAATGAAATAAGATAATACAAACTCTGTTCCTCTTGCTAGACACAGAGACATAGAAAACCAAATCGAACCAAACTAAAACCCAACCAAAATGTGTTTATATGTTGGATTTTATTAATTTTTGAAAAAGAGAAAAAAAAAAGTCTCTCAAACCAATTTAAGTGTAACTTATCTAAAACAAACCAAATAAATCGAAATTCATTTAAAATTGATATTTATTAATCATAGAAATATTTATTTTTAAAATGTTTTTTCTTACTTTTTAACCAAATTCAATGCAACCAAATCGATTACAGTCTAAAATTATCTCCAACGGGTCCAATCTCAAATCGTTGCCTATATGGTTTTTGGTTACCCCCGATTAGATTAGATTATCCAAAATTATCTCCGACCGGTCTAATTATCCTACACCTAATTTTAGAATATCCGACTGGTTCAATTATCCTACACCTAATGTAAGATGCTCATACTGGTTTAATTATCCTCCTGTGTTCATGGAAACCCCCACAAACCAATTCCATTTGAGCAATTTTTAATTATCTATATACATTGTTGTTTAGTCATTAGGTGTATAGCAAATAAATCTAACATTTTACCCCAAAAAAAGTGTGTATAGTTAAGTAAATTTATTTTAAAATGACTAAGGAAAAGTAAAGACCTCGTAACTACGAAATTTATTACAAGTACCAACCGGGTGCTTGATGTTTTCAACGATAATCTACTATATCATTTATTATTATTAAACAAAAATTGTTTTTTTAAATATGTGTAACTGGGTGTAAAAAGGGTTTACCGTGGACGAGCGACGAGAGGCTGCCATTTTGCAAATAATCATAAATCAACAGCCTCTCTTCCTTAGCCTGAAAATAAGCCCTGAGTGGGACCAGATTCGGATGCCCTAAAGCTCCAACTGATTCCATGTGGCGCTCAAATTTCTCTCTTCCTACACCAGCCAATCTAATGGCGTCTAGCCTCTTCACCGTCACGATCAAACGGCTGTCAAGCAACGCCTTATAAGTGGTCCCCACACTACCTCTACCCAATAACTCAGCCGATGCTGTCATTAGCTGGTCCATCGTATACACGTGGGCCTCTCCCGCACAGAATACTAAGCTCCCACTCTTCGCCGCCTGTAGCTTCTTCACCTTCTCCTCCATCTCACTCTCTTGCTCCATCTGTATCGCCGCCGCTACCTCCGCTGTCTCCGCCGCGTCGGACGCAGCAACCGCCGTCGATTCTTTCCCCTTTTCCTTATCGGTTTTATCTCTCCGTCTCTTAACGGCGGCGATTAGACAAGCGACGGAGATAAATAGCAGAAGAGCGGCCAATAGAAACCCTAGAATCACCGCTAATCGCGAATGTTTGTTGTGATTTCGCCGGTACAACCCCCAATCGTAAGCCTGGCCGTGAGGTATAGGCGGTGGTGGTGGCGCCGCCGTCTTTTCCGGCGGCGATTGGCTGAAAAACTTGGACCTCGGGTTGCATTCCTTGTGAACGATCTCGCCGCAAAGATTAGGGTTTTTCAGAAAAGAGGAAATACCGAATCGTAACAAAACGGCGGTAACCGGTACAGCACCGGTTAAGTTGTTAACTGAAACGTTGAAAGAACGAAGCGAGGACTGGTTCAGAGCAGGGACGGTACCGTTGAACCGATTCGAATCGAGCCGGAGATAAATCAACCGGTCCGAAGAGACTAAACCGGGAGGGATCGGACCGGCGAGTTTGTTGAAAGAGAAATCGAGTGTTCTTAACCGGTGAAGCTCGAGAACCGACAGAGGAAACGAACCGGAAAAAGAGTTGTGATCGAGAAACAGCGATTTGAGATTAACCAAACCGGAGAAATCGGGTAAAGGTCCGGTTAACGAGTTGTTCTTGAGACTGACAACTCGGAGCTGGTCGATTTTATTGACTGAGTCAGGAGCGAGTTGACCTCCGAGATAGAGATCTTCTATAACCAAACGAACAACTTTGTTGCCGTAGCACGTAACACCCCACCATTGACAGAAATTTGAGCTTTTGTTGCTGAAGAAACCAAGCTTGTTCCATAAATCAGCTTTGGATTTGAACAGTAAAAGAGCAGAAGCGTCGCGGTGAGAAGAAAACGCGCGTTTTGTGCGGTTCGAGGAAGAAGAAGCAATGGCGAAGAAGAAGAAGAAACAAAAGAAAAGGAACCCAGAAATGGGGAAGTTACAACGAAGCATTTTCTTGTGTGGAATGTGTTAAAGAAACATGTTAATAATGTCTGAGATTGCACATCACAGATTTGCTTCTGTAAAAGAATCTAGAGAGAGAGAGAGGTGAAGAGAGCAGGAGGTACGTGACAAAAGGATGTAAGACACAAGAGAGTAGCTGTCGGGACTTGTAAGCTCAGAGTCACGTGAAGACTGAAAAAAAGTAAAGAAGATGCATAATTTATTATTAAAATGATACTTGTGAAACTGTTGAACGAAGCAAAAGAATATGATGGATCAAATATAATTGATTATTAATGATGATTTTGAAGGGAGATTAGCAAACAAACGCGATCTAACCCTTGTTGTGTATCAAAATTCAAAACTAAAAAAAAAAAAAAATCAAAACTAGATCTAACTACAGGGAGGAAGCTATTATGACAAGCTGTTATGGTTGTTGAGATTTGAGAGTTAGTTAATACAGGGAGGAAGATATTATTACAGGAACGTTATCGAGGATTTTTTTATAAGTAACGCCTTTTTTTATAAGTTCGTTCTATACCAGGAACGTTATCGAGGATTAAACATGATTTGGATTAACATGGGTACCGAACCAAAGCCAAATTAGGATTAACTTCATCATCTATCGAATAATAAAAGTTGTCCAAGTAATACTTTTTTGCTTCAGGCTTCACAACTACATGATTATTGCGAAGAATGCCTTCAAACTGGCTAGTTAGTATGTTTGTGTTTGACTGTTTGGTTTCAGAACCTTTATAATGTGTCGAGCTTCTTTGAAAGTTTCCATTACAATAGCTAGATTCCGGGGTTTATCGACATCTATTGGATGATAATATAATCTATCTGTTAGACCTATTTTTTTATCGAAGCCAATTGGGCTTTGACATCTCCAATCCAAACGGTAAATTTAGTGTAAAAATAACACCAAATTTGCTGTTATAGTGTTCTACTTTTTTTTATGTTCAACCATAGCACTATTTCACACTAAAAAAAATATTCTCTATTAGTATATTATTATATTTAATTTTGTTTTTAAGTGTTGATCAATACTATTTATAAAGATTTCTTATAAAAGTTTATAAAATTTCTTATAAGGTTTTATATCAAAACATGTTATATCAAAATTCTTCTATAAAACTACTAAAACATTTAGTACAACATATCTATAAAACCAAAAATCAAAACTAACAAGCAAATATGTAAATTATGTAATCAAAATTATATTTTAATAAAAAATAAAATTAAGACAAAGAGATAGTATGGTATATTAAATACTTATTTAAAACTATTA